TGGATGCATTGATATTACTGTTTGGCAAGCTTTCTCGCTGCTTGTCCAGCTAGGACCACCTTACATGTTAGCTTACAGGGTTAACAGGAGCTGAGCGGGATGACTCCCTGCCCCAAGTGATTGTTCTGCCATTCCAGGCCCAGCCTATGAGCCAGGCTTGCCGTGCTATCATCAGCGGTGTCATTCCTGGAGAACTTCTGACATACCTGATTCAGGAACCGGACTACCGAGATCACCACAGAAGGCATTGTTCCGTTGGCAGGCATGTCACCTTGGAACCAGTTCAGCTCCAAGGAACCCCCCCCCCCCATCCCAGGAGGATTCAATGCGATAGCTTGTTTGGGAAAGTGAATTAGGCTTGTAGACTTTGCAACAAATGTGGTTGAAATTTGGGTTGTGACTCACATAAAAACAAAACAGTAGTTCATTTCTTTACCTTAACCGCTCCTCCATATGGTGCCAAACACATGAGACCAATAATGTTTTAAATTTATACTCCTGTAATGCTTGTGTTGTAGCTATTAAGACATTGCTAACAATTATACCTTTTAACACAAGTGTTAATGTTTTGACTCTTTGGAAAATTTGAGTAAAGCCTGGAAAAGACATATGATGTGACCTTGTAAGTATTAGAGTGAATTGACTTTTTAAAAAATAATTATTTTCCTACACCTTCCCTGTGTATTACTGAGTAGGTCAAGCTTTGCAGTCCGTCAAATGTTATTGTAATTTAAACTAGGCTAGTCATATAGTGATAAATTGCTGTTAGTACAATGAGAGTACGTTGTTTGCAATCTGTGACCAATAATGTTGTATCATTTCTCTTTGCATTGTTGAAGAAAACTGACCTTTCAAATGTAAAGAAATGTATTTTGGCTCCCATTGAGTATGATCTGAAAAATAGCATGCATGTATACTTGCTCAAGTGTAAAGATTATAAGATGAGTAGTTTTTCTCAGTTTCACATTGGTTTTTCAGAATTCTCAGTCTTTGGGCAGATTTAGATGTTTTTTCTTATCGAAAATAGATGTGCATTATACGTTATTACCTTTTAAATTGTACAAAGGGACAAGGTTTAGTAGAACTGATGTGATGTGGCTTCTTGTTACCAATATAGATCCAAAATAATAGGGCCATAGCAAGCCATCAAGTAGTGTTAGCAATAACAGCTGGAGTTCATATGACCTTTCATGAACGTATCGAAACGCATCAATCAATCTTTCAGATTAAGTTTGTGTTTAACATTTAGATTTTGTGTGCATCAAATTACCTGCCATTTAAAAAAAAAGTGAAAATGGAGATAAAAGAGCGCATATTATTTTGAATTTCTATGGTTCACAATGTAAGGAAAGGTCCTGTTCTGTGGCTTTACACTTTCTTGATAAAATCTATGGAAGATCCTGAGCTTGGTGTGATTATGAAAATTGTTATGACAAGGGAGGTGATTCGTATTCATTCCATTCACAAATTAGTTACTCATCCTCTCTCACATACAATACCATTCACACAGAATAATTATAGTAATAATAATCCTTACATTTGATATAGCATTTTTCACGTAAGAAACACATCTCAAAAGCGCTTCACAGGATTTAATGTAAAGTAGAATGACTATATTATGCCCGTGTTTAAAGAAAGTATTTAAAGCAAAAACAGAATTCAGGAAAACACTTTCTCCCTTCTTTCTCCTATCTACCTCCCCAACTCTATCTGAGAAATATTCAAAATACTTAATGCATTTTTTTAACTTTTATTGAAATTTAATTTTTTTTAGTGTGATATAGACCAACTTTAGTCACGTGAATTATGAAAAAGGAATGCTTGTATTCCTGGATTAGTCATAGCCTTTTTAGGAACAAAGCATAAAAATAGATTGTTATTTTGTTTTATTTGGTGCAATTGTACACTCTTAAATTAACAATAACAGCAGTAACTCTGAAGGTGTTGAAGTAGTTTATAGACAAACTTGATTCTCAACACTTTCAGGATGTCAGGAAAGAAATATAAAAAAAACTTATGGTGTAATAAATGATCATCGATTTTCACGAAGGCCTTTAAACAATTTTGATCTTAAACACAAAGGTATTCTGTCAAGTCAAGGGAATTGACTTAATGTAGTTTATTTAGCTTTTCCCTGTTTGGAGACGTTTAATGATAGATTATGTTTTGTCCTTAATTGATGTAATTCAATCATACCCGTTGAGTGTAGTCTGATGTTAATTTCATGACTTTGCCAAACTGACACATATCTGAAGGATGAGCAGTCAGTTCTTGCCAGTTTATTTATGTTGGGATGTGTTTGCTGTTCTAAGAGTCTGACAGAGTGTCTTGCTTCATGGGGCAGCTTCAATTAGCCCCAATGGAGAGGACACGACTCCTGACTTGTTTGAGCCTTTTGAGATTATTTTCTGAACAAATCTGTGGACTAATCTGACGCTCTTGCAGAGAGTTACTGACGCATTTAATATAAGGCTACAATTTTTCAACTGAATTAATGGTATTTGGGTTTGTAAAATACCACCATTTTTGTTATTGGAATTTATAGTTTGGATCATAAAAACAAAATTAGTGCCAGATGTGCAAAGGTATCGCAGGTAATATGCATTATCTGCGCTAGAAGTTTGCTTTAAATAATAACAATCCTTGCATTTAAAATAGCTCCTTTCATATCGGGAGGAAGTCCCAAAGGGCTGCACAGGATATACAGTAAAATCCGCATAAATCTTGTCTCAGTAAATCGTATAATTGCCTAAGTCATACATGCGCCTGAGTCTCATTCAGTTTCCTATCGAAACCACTTAGATTTCTTTTCACTAGTCGTATTAATCATCTCCTAACTTGCAACGCCGCTCCCCTATTCACAATGCAGCACTTACCGGCTGCATTGAATCGCGGGAAATGACGTCCTGAGCAGTCAACACATGCGCATTTATTGCCCGGCTGCATTGAATCGCGGGAAACGCAGTTTTGATTCTAATGTTATATTAAATGTTATGGTCCCGATTGATGCAACATATGTGAGCTTTACTGTACTGTAAAGTGAAGTGTCTGTGTTTTGTGAGCAAAATGCAGCAGCCAAGTTGCTAGGTTGGTTTTAGCTTTATTCCTTCAAGTGAAATGTACAGTAATTTCAAGTGGACTGATTGGACATGATGTAAGTTTCAAATCTGTTTTTATAAGGTAAAAATTAATTTAAGCAACCTGATAAGGATCTTGAAAGAGATGCTTCAGATGAAGATCTTGAAAAAGATTGGAAGTTGTTGAAAGTGAGGTGCTGAAAATGTATTATTCTGTGCTACATGTACAATAAATTCCTGATAACTTGAGTTTGGCTAAACTTGTCACTACCTCTTAACTCATCACACTGTCAATATCCCGACTGCATTTATTTATGAATTGATACATATGATACACTCGCCACTCCGGATAACTGTCACCGAGTCCTTTTTTCTGGCAGTGATGAGTTATCAGGAGTTTACTGTTTTCAAAATAAATGCTACTTCATTTCTAAAATGTAATGAAATCACCATAAATGGAATACAGTTTTCAATACTGCCACCCACCAATTACTGCAGTATGAACAGTGTCTTTGGGGAAAAAAAATCCAAACTCAGCATTATGCATGACTGCAAGTTATCAGCAATTTATGGAGCAATGTCTGAAGTTCTGGATTCCCATGCAAATCATCTGCAGCTGAGGAAACCCAGATAGTTTCATTATGCGGAATGCACATTTAAGCCCACAATGTTCAGAGAACTTCTGTTTTTCTGGTGGCCAATAGGAACCTCAATTATTTTCAAGTGAGCTACTTCTACCATGGTATTGTGTTGCACCTTGTTCGATTTCACAGTCAAAGTTTGTTAAGACTCTACACGTTTGTGCCCTATAGACTGCATCTCAAAGCGGCAATCCAGTTTTGTATTGCACTGGTTTTGTAAATGACCTTCTTACATATGAAACATGAGCCTAATACATGTTACACTCGGCAGATCAATAGCCACTCATTATGCAGACTTTTAACTTAATACAGTTAGTGCAGTGGCCTAAGAAAACTATGCATGATAGACCCCAATGTGATATGACAGTTCTAATTACTTTCGAGCTGATGAGAATATTATCTGTGGAATTCAACTGGAATTCACAGTTGTTTAATAGAGATTATATTAGGTTGATGTCTTGAAACTTTCAGTCATCTTTGCAGGTCAGGGTTTAAGGCCATGATTGCCAGTCAGAATTACCACATTGACTGTATATGCGCGCAGAAAGTATATTTGCGCTACAAAGCACTTTCTGGCATCTCGGAAGGCAACAGGACCAATTTTGGGACATGACGGTTGCCATCGCCATTGCTTCACGTGTCTCGTCTAATGTTTTGAAGCATCGATAGAGCTTGTGTGCGCAATTTGGATTTGTATGTGCAAGTAACTGTTGGCGTTCGTTCACACAACAATTGCTATAAGTGAACCTGCATTGTAAAAAAAAATTGCACTCTAATGTGAGTTCTATTGTATTACTAACTTACAGGGATCTTTTGTGAACATTCAAAGTTAAACTTTAAATTAATTGAAATAACCAAATTTGAACATTCAAAGTTAAACAGTTAAACTCAGCAAACATGCTGTTTTATGTTGTCAAGTGGCGACATGGTTGAGATGGCTTCAGAATGAATCAATGCAATCATTTTCGACACCTGCCTAATGAATTAACTGGTTTCAAAAAAAGGCAGCAGCAATTTACTGATTCAGAACTGCAGTTTGGATAAGTTGCCTATCACACCAAGAACTTCTGTTTAAAATGTATGATTTTTAGCTCGAATAACCCTCTTGAGAAATTTATTAACCAGTTCAAAAAACACTTCACTTGAAGGCAAAATAAGAATGACATTTTTAATCCATTTCAATGTTAAAGATGTTGTTTGTGTGTGTATGTGTGTAAGTATATGTTATCTCACAATGATGTCTCCTTGCTGTGACTGAGGCGAGTTTGTTGATGTTTCACAGGATGATCATGAGAGTTGTGGCTCCAGCTCAACCAACCGCAGCACCACAGAGAGCATAAAATCATTAGCTAAAGCTCGTCGGATCCAGCAAGTGGCCCCAACTGACCCTGACTTACCCCCAGGTGAGTGATGAATGAAGGGATGTGATGGAAAACTGTCCCGCGTACAACACGTAAACAAGCATCATCAATAGTCTGTAAATTACACAAGATTTTAAAAACAAAGGCACTGTGACATTACTTTTGAGGTTTAACATTTAAATCTATCCTTGACAAGTTACTGGTATTTCGGGACTGTTAGTATGGCATGCAAAATGTATTATTTACCAAATCTCAAGTGCATTCCAGCTGTACAAATTTATGCCTTTAAGAAAGCACAAGAAATTCTTCATATTTTCTTTTTGGCTGAGCACCTGCACGCCTGTCTTTCCTCACTTTATTCTCTTCTTTCCCCTGAAAATGAAAGCTGACAAGAATTCAAGTAAATGGTATAGTTCTGTCTTGTATGAGTAAGAAAGTGAATGGTTTGTTCCAGACATGGGGGAACTTTCCATGTGTAGGTGGCATTATAGAACTGTAGAATATTACAGCACAGAAAGAGGCTATTCGGCCCATCGTGTCTGTGACGATTCTTTGGAAGAGCCACCCAATCAGTCCCACTTCCCTGCTCTTTCCCCATATATGGTTTTAATACTTTTAAGCATACCTGCATTATTAGGCACCTGGCTGACCAATAAATAAATTAAATAAGTAAATAAATGTAATCATCCATCCCAACATTTCTAACTTGCAACCCAGGATCATGCTCATAATCGAAGTGAAATAGTCTGCTTGGATCTCTGTTGTATACCTCTCGACACTTTGAAGTCTTGGATCATGACACTCCTTAATCTTTCTTTTAATGGTCATTCAATCCATGAATGTTTGTGGGACACTGCTGTGCTCAATTGGCTGCCGTGTTTTACCCACAAAATATTCAAGCAATTCACTTTACAGTGCAGTTATACCCAATGAAGTACTTTGCAATGTTTCAACGATGTGCTAAAGTGCTATGTCAAATGCAAGGATTATTATTCTTATGACTGCAAATTCAGAAATGAGACTCGGAGCTCTAAATCATTGAATTTTTCTTGTTTCTCATCTCCAAACACTCTGCAACTTTTTTAAAATTAGGTTGTCTTACAATTACGCACAGTATTTTAGGTGTGACCTCCTCAGTTCTCCATACATTGTTAGAGCAAGTTACCTCAACTTTTAAGCAAATGACCTCAGAATGCTGTTTATTTGATTAGCTTTGTTTACAGCAGTTTCACATTGTTTGGAGAGATTCAGTGATTGATCAATCATCATCCAAGTCCTTTTACTTGTGTACTCATGAAGCCCCTTTGCTCTGTACACATTTACTTTTCTTGTTTTGTTGTGCATCATCATTTATCTGCATAATAATCTGTCATTCACTCAATGATTTGAAGGAGTGCACTTTTTCATTATTACAAACATTTGCTGATGATTCCAAGCTATGTGAATAATATGTGGCAGTCAAGCAGTATTCAGGCAAATCGGCATCAATTGGTTGTAAAATTGATCATCTACGACTTGGCTCTTTGTGGGACATCACTGTGCACAAATTGAATGCATATTTGCCTACAAAATATACTGTCTGTACGCTTCACGGTAAATCATGTGAAGCGCTTTGGAATGTATTCCTGACATCAAAGTCACTAAATCGTATGTAAGAATTATTAGGATGATTATATGTTGCTCCTTGGCCCAACTACTAAATTGGTGATTCTTTTCCTAAATTCCTATGGAGTCCTGTAGCATATTGGTTAGAGCACTCGCCTCGCAAGTGGGGGAACTTGGTTTGAGTCCTGGGCAGGGCAAAACCTTAGGCAAGTTTCCTTACTTCACACTCCTGTTTACCCTGCAGTAAGCAGGAACCCGGTAGATTGGTGGATTGCTTTCTGGGGGTAATAATTCCTACAAAAAATAAATAAAAAATTGGATCACTCAAGCCACAACTGTGGGGCAATTGGCTGCCGTGTTTCACCCACAAAATATATATTCGATTCACTTTACAGTATGTTCTGTGAAGCGCTTTGATACGTTTCAATGACGTGATATGGCGCTATATCAAATGCAAGGATTATTGTTATTACTATTTTGTCTACCTTATATTAGTTACATAGCTTGGTATCCTCAGCAAATGTTGAAATATTGCAAACTCTTTCCTCCAAGTCACCCAGGAAGAATTGAAACAGTAGAAAACCCAGAACAGAATTGGATGGAACTCAGCTGCTCACTCCTCCTGGAGTTCATCTTACGTTTATTTCTACTTTGTTTCCAATTGCGATGCTAGTTTTCCATCCAACTAGCTTTTTTTGCCTTTAAGTGACCTTTGATTGTCTCACAGGTGGAACTTTACACATATCTTCTGAATATCCAAGTAAATTATATTCAGTGGATCGTCCTTATCCATTAATTTAGTTACTTCCTCAAACAATTCCAGTAGATTCATGAAGCATTACCTATTGTTTCTGAATCCTTGTTAACTAATCCATCTTTCAGTAGTTTTGCTCGCTAGAGAGATATCCAATTCCATCTTTGAATCTGCCTCCTTCCCCTCCCTGATGTATTCAATATTCTGCATACAGTACTAAATCAAAACTGTTCACTTTCCCTACTTTGAGCTCAAGTTTATGGGATCTTGTTGTAGAGCTTGTTACTGTGTTAAACATTAAGGTTCAGTTCAGCTGCCTTCAATGGGATTTTGAATATAAAGATCTCCGCTGAACCTTCTATTCTCCAGTGCTAACCTCTCCTTCCCTCATAACTTGGGTGTTTTATTTCTAGCTATCAGCTCAGATGCCCCTTGCTGTATTGTCTCAACCCACAAGATGTGTCAGCAATAATTTGATTTGATAGGGCACTAGATTAAATCTAGTTATTATTAATCTTGTGTATTTTAGCTGAACTGAAAGGAATGCTGCTTTTAAATGAGTCAACACTGCTATTTCACATTCTGTGGTTTTCACAGAAGCAACACAAAATAAAAGCTTTGTGGAAAAATAGATATTACTGGTAGCATTTTCTATTAAACGCGAAGTGAATCTGGTACATGTTTACCTACAAATTTGACTATATTGTCCATATGTTTTTGAGCAGATACATTTGGCAGAAGGGAATTCAGCATGTTGTCTTTCCCAAGCCAGGATTTCAATTAAAGTGATTCCTCATCTTGTTACAAATTAAACCAATCACTCATTTTGATGCTTCATAAACTCATATGTTCATCATTAAGGCCCACAACCACATGTGTGCTCAAATTCTTCTCCTAGAGAATGGCCTTTCTCATCTCTATTACCTCTGCAAGGGGAATCAGTGAACTGTTAACTGTTAGTTTCAGATTCTTCTTACACAAAGTTTGCAGTGATAGAGTTACCATGAGTTCAGATCCTGAGGTCCTTCCAGAGGGAGTTTCTGATTTCCTTATTAGTGCAATGGGAAGAAAACTCTTCTTTCTGCTATAGAAATCTTTCTTTCTTAGCTTAATTATTGGCACCGTATGTTTAAAGCGATTGTAGATCAAGAAAAAAAACTTTTGAGTATGATGTTTCATTCCTGCATTTTGCAAATGATGATGTTTGCTGTGCAGTGGGAATGCATAATGGAGTTCGTTTTTCCAGCCATGATATGGTTGAGCAATTTTAAATAGGTTTCTTCCCAGTAGGCTGTTACGCAGGTGCTGACTGTGTCAATTGTTGACACAACTCAAGTCTTTCTGCTTAATGGAGAGCACAGTATAGAACACCAGTGCATTGGCCTTTACAAATTAGATCCAGAAATAAAAATAACAGGAGGTTAAATGTTAGCTTACTGTTTTGCTGCAGGTGTAGGGGTGAGAGAGAGAGAGAAGGGAAACTGATGGGAGTGAAATTCCATTAAAGCCTCATGAGAAGACGCTTTAAATTATTACGTATAGCGGTTTGGCATCCAGGCCACTTAAAGTTTGCACTAAAGTAGCTTGAGCTACAGTACTAATGAATTTAACACAACAACTTGATCTGTTCCAGGCTCTATTTATTTTGAACTGGTTGGATGTGTGAACATTTTTATTTTATGCTGTTTCTCCTACATATTTGGTGGCGAATTGCCATGATTTAGGCAGTACTTGACCAACAACACGTTTAGCATTGAACGGTGGCTGAGACACCACTGGAGTCGTGCTCCTGACACCACATGCAGGATGTGGTTTGCAGAGCGATTTGCACCCACGTAGTAATCATAATAATAATCAATAATCCTTCAATTTGATACAGCGCCTTACATCAGAAGCACATCATAAACTTTGGCAGGTCCAAGGTACTGGATTCACTCTGCATTTTTTCTAATCCAATTGAATCATCCATAACTTCCAGGCAAAATGGAAGGAAATAAATTAAGCATTGAGGAAAAACAATCCAGAATTGTTTTGTTTTTTTCATTTTAAAAACTCTGTTCCCTGTGCGAAGTCCCATGAACTCACTTGTACAAATAAAATTCTGTCCATCTGTTTTGTGTCTCTGCTTTTCATTGTTTTTTGTTGAGCTCACAGTTCAGGGATAGATTATGTAAGGAGTCCATGGATAGGGAGCATGTGGCATTTTAATATACATCTCAAAACACTGTATGTGTTTCATAATTTGAGTAGTCATCATCTTCTGGCATCTCTGACTGTGTGCAAACAACTGAGAAATAGCGATGAGAATGATGATTATTGTTGAACATGCCATAGATGGTTGATTAACTTCTTTACCACTTACCACTGCTATGAAAATGGGTGCATTATTAATGTCATAGATAAATTTTAATAATGAATTTTATTCTGCTTCTACTGATACCTTCCCCCAGCTCGGGTCCAAATCTCTGACTGTACAGTGTCTTGGGACGTCCTGATGTGAAAGGCACTATACAAATATGTGGTTGTTGTTTAGCTTGACAGTTTGGTATTGTAGTTCTTTGTAATCCTTGTACAATGTGTGACTTTCAATATCAGTGTCGAGATCTATTTAAAGTGAAGTACCTTTATAGGTATGTGTACAAGGTATTGATCAGTTTCTTGCAGTTCATACAGCAGCTCAAGAAGCAGCTGTAGCCATTCTGTAGAGATTGCCAGATACCTAGATGTATGATATAGTATTAGCTTCTGAAAGTTCCTGGGGTCTGTTTAATTTTGGAATGCATCACAGTTACCCAAGTATGATAAGATTTGTAATAGGTTTGCCAGACTTAACAAATGGTTTATTTCAATGATAACGATAATGTAGGAACGGAAAAGAAGAACTTGGCCTTTTATTTTGTTATTGAGTTGAAAAATCTCAGTGAATTTCAAGTAATTACTGTCAATTCTAGTAACTTTTCAGGCAAACATGCTGGCCATTCATGTCAGGAACATCCTACAAACATCCATGAGGTGTATGTACTACCACACTGACGTAGCGTAATCTTTGATGTAATGGTTTCATACAATTGAAGGTAGTACTTTGTACTAGGATTTTCTAAACCCCACTGTGTTTAGAATAATTTGAAATATGGATTCAATGGGGTGTTGGATGGGGAGTAAGAGAGGGAATGATTGTGACGTTGTTGGTCAAATGTGTTTGTCTATCTAAGATTGAGAGCTACTATCACAGGATGCTGTTGAGCCATGTAACTGGTGCCCAACACTTCATAGGTTCCATGATTAATGGTGGTGTACATTCCACATTTAAATGCTAGCTTACAAGCCGTTTCGACTAGCTCAAAGAAGTTGAGTGGATGAGCTGCTTTACAGAAGCAATAACAATTCACATTGGGTGACCCTTCCTGCAGATATTGACTTTTTTTTTGTGAGCCAGCTTGACAAAAGCAGCAATGAGACAATCTCAAAGCAAGTTTTTGTTTTCTATTGATAACCTATGCCGGGCGGGGTTTCCCAAACTTTCGGGGCTGAAGGTATCCTGATTGCGGACCCCTACTTGGGCTGTCTGGGCTTCTTGTGGGCAGCGAGGCATGCCAGGTTTGCTGGTATGAGAACCATCAGCCTAATTAAAAGTACTCAGTATGATGGTGGTTACACTAGTTCTCAGGTTGCTGTCCAAAATTCGTAGGACACTTCTCAAGCAGGGCATTTGTGATACAGACCTGATGTATGTGACCTTCCTTTGTCCTCCTCTTTCATCCTGTCTGTAGGTTATGTGCAGAGCCTGATTAGACGTGTTGTGAACAATGTAAACATCGTAGTGAATAACCTCATCTTGAAGTATGTGGAGGATGACATTGTCCTGTCGGTCAACATTACATCAGCAGAATGTTACACAGTGGATGAGTTCTGGGATCGAGCATTCATGGACATCTCAGGTGAGTGAAATGGAGTATGTCCCCATGACTACTGCTGGAATGGGGAAAGCCAAATTGAGCAATGTTTAGCTTTCGTTTAAATTAACTCCGGTAATGTATTGTTCAGCTTTAATCTTTTAGCATAGTCGAATAGTACAGAGAATGTTGCAGTACAGAGACAGGTCGTTTGGCCCATCAAGTCTCCCTTGTTTTTATTCTCCACATGGGCTTCGTTCCCCCAAACCCTTCAACGTTTTTCTTTTATTATGCATCCATCTAATTCTCTTTTGAAATAATTTATGAACTCTGAAAATTCAATTTTCACTTCTGTATGAAGATTTTTTTTTAAATTGTCCCTTTAATTCTTCATGTGATTAATCTTGCTGGTCACTCAATCCACCACTGTTTGTGGTACACTGTGTGCGCAATTGGCTGTCGTGTTTCACCCACAAAATATACAGTCCATTCACTTTGCAGTGTATTCTGTGAAGCGCTGTGAGATGTCTTGAAGATGTGATAAGGCTCTATTAAATATTAACATATTAAATATTAAATGCATATTATATCGTAATATAATTGCTTTGGGACGTCCTCCTGAAGTGGAAGGTGCTATACAAATGTAATTTATTGTTGTTGTTGCTGACATGCTGATTGAAACCCTTTAGAATCTTGAAAACATTTTATCAGGTCACCCTTAACCTTCCCAGGTCCAGTGGAAAAGAACCTCAATTGCTCAAGCCTTTCATAATTGAAACACCTCACCCTCATAATATCCAAATAAATTTACACAGTACCTTTTCTATTGCGTTTACACCAGAGTTACATTTATAGCCAGACACGGCTTAGTTTATTTACTTTATTCTGACATATTTCCAAATGTGTGTGTACTGGTTTAGCATGCCTACTTTTTCTGGACAGTTGTCAGCATTGTTCCTGCACAGACTAAAAACACTTACAGTTTCATTTAACATGAGGTCATGGTCCTGGCTCTCTTGGCTTTGAGCTTGGAGACTGAGGATTTGACTTCTTTGATCCATAACTGCAAGCTTTCTCTTCAGGCAATTCTGTAAGTACTCGTGTCAGCAGTGCAGAGTCCTGCAAGGTTTCATTTGAATCATGAAAATGTTTGGTGAGACTCCTGAGAATTTGGGTCAAGGCTTCAAACCTTTTACATTTTTGGCTGCTAATAGCTTTTAAAGCTTGCTTGTTTAGTGCGCTTGTTTTCATTATAATGACTTTATCATTGGAATAGTAATGACCATGACTGTTATACTAATTTCTCCCACGCTTTCATATTTTATGAGAAATCTCTTAACTTTAACTCCTTTAAGCAATAATCTAATGTTGACAAGAAGTGATAATATTGTTGAAGCTTGTTATGGATATTCTATCTATGATTCAAACTTTTTATTCCCACATAGGAATGTTTGAGCTCACAGGATAGGCTGGTATTGCAATCAAGCGCTGCATTGTTAGAGGTGCCATCCTTCAGATGAGACATTTAAACTGAGGTCCTGCCTGTTCAGGTGAATGATAAAAATCCCAAGGCACTATTCGAACAGAGAAGGATTATTCTCCTGGTGTCCTAGCCAGCAATCCCCCATTTCATGGCTGTCTGTCCCTTTAATTCTTCATGTGATTAATCTTCCTGGTCACTCAATCAACCACTGTTTGTGGGACGCTGCTGTGCGCAATGGGCTGCCGCATTTTACCCACAAATATACAGTCAATTCACTTTGCAGTATATTCTGTGAAGCGCTTTGAGACGTCTAGAAGACGTGAAAAGTGCTATACCAAATGCAAGGATTATTATTATTAATGCTGTGCACAAATTGGCTGACATGTTGGCCTACAATATACAGTTGCTATATTTTGTAGTAAATCTTGTGAAGTGCTTTGAGACATCTTCCCAACGTGTCAGGCACTATATCAAATAGAAGGATTATTATTATTATCAATAAATAACTTTTCACTCATTCTTTAATGAACTGACAAGTCCAGATCCCACTGCTTGTTCTTATTTCTTTTCCTATCTATTAATTTAATTTATAGAAATTATTTTAGCAATTTAACTATGAATTATTCATGGTTGTTATGGCATATGATAAATTGCTGAATTACCCTGTATGAATTTTCTGTCTTTAAATCTGGTATGAATTTGGGGGCTGTCAGCAAGGAAGATGACTGAAGGCATGGTCAAAGAGGAAGGTCTTGAGATGGCCTCGAAGGAGGCGAGCGAGGGGTTGAGACGAAGGAGCTCCAAGATGGAATTCCAGTGGGTGGCGGCAGAAAAGCTGAAGGCCCGACCCTCGAAAGTGGCGCGGGCAGAGCCGGGGTAGTGAAGCAGGCCAGTGCCAGTTTAGCAGATAGAATTGGTGGGTTGGTAATGTTTCAGGAGGTCATAGAGGTAGAATGGGGCAAGACTGTGGAGGGCTTTAAAGATGAGAACATGAACTTTAAACTCGATCCTCGGGGAACATGGGGGTGATAGGCTCAGAGCTTGGTGCGAGGGGGTTAATCTGATTAATCTGGATTTTATGGAGGGAAGAGTTGGGAAGTTCGTGAGCAGAAAGTTGGCAAGTCGAGCTTGGTCACATTGATTGTGACTATTATCCTTCCACGTAAATCTTACTCAACTAAATTTTCAATCAACTTTATTTCTGTAATATTATTATATGATTCACCACACAGTGTGTGAACATGGAAAGAAAAACTTGTCAGCCCAGTGAAAGAAACATTTCCCTGAGCCAATTGGCTGTCTGGGTTTAATTAAAAGGAATCTACTCTATTTAAAAAATAGTATTTGGTGATAGTGAGTAAAACATCAATTTCTCTTGCACCACTATTTTCAGTTCTATGGCATTTTTCAATGTTTTTTTTTCTTGAATAGCTTTTAGATTCCTCAGTTCTCCCCCACAAAATTCCTGATTTGATGCACAATGCTGAGTTCACAAAAGCACCAACAACACAAATGATGTGCTTTGGGTGACATTTTTAATATTACGCTGGTTAATTTGCTACTGGTGGCCCGAAGGTCGACGGCAACCAAGTTAATAAGGGATTGTTCACCACTAAAAGATTTAGTGTTAACTCCTGACTCCAAATGTGCCGGGAGTGAGTGCCTTCAACATCTAAGACAAATGGAAGCGGCTGAATTTTTGGCTGCAGAGAGTTCAGCATCTGAGCTGTTCATTCGTGTCCCATGCTCGCCTCTGAAGCAGTTTCACTCCCGTTGGCCTATGCGGTGCCTTACACAGCAAAAACGTAAATTTGTGACTTTAAAACGACTGCATTTGCACCAGTGCGCGCACACACGGTTCACAAGTATGCCCCTAGTGCCTGCTGTAGGCTCGCCACACAGTAAAAACAGCTTGGTTTCTACAGCAACGGGATCAGTGTCCAGCTTTGAAACGCTTCTTGAAGTGGTTTTGTAATATAAATTCCGCATTTGGAAACCTGCCTGCTTGTGAGCAAGCAAGCTGCAGAAATTGTGTTAGTGAATTTTTTTTTAGAGAGGGGGCGGAGTTCTCCTTTTAAGTAATCCTGTGGTAAATACAGCTGCTAGTGGGTTTGAGTCCTCTCTGTGTCTCACTATGGAGTAAACCCTTCAAGCTGTTTCGGCTAGTAGGCATGTAAGTTTTNAAAAAACATGTTTCAGACTCCCCCTGATGGATCGGCTGGTAAATCCTCTGTCGAGTGCAAAACCAAGCCATTTAGACCCAGAAGGCTAAGGTCTCTGCTGAATTTTCTGATCTTGCCTGGGGCAAATCTAATTTGGCCCTCAATGCATATGATATCGGGAAGGGAAAAATCAGTCCTGGTTCCTGCTTTTTAGGACTATCCGGTGACCCCTGGTTGGAAAGTACATTTGTGTGGAATTAGATAGTTTTATACTTATGGTTTGAGTCACCATCGTATAGTAGAACTGAGTTTAGAATGTGGATGTGCATCATAATAATAACAATAATCCTTACATCGGTATAGAGCTTTTAAAGTGCTTCACAGTAAATCCTGTGAAGCACTTTAAAACATTGAGAGGACATTTTAAAGTGCTTCACAGGATTTACTGTGAAGAGAGTGACTGTATTCCAGGTCAAAAATAGCAGCCCATTTGTGTGTCACATTGTCACATGTGAAATGAATGGTCGATTTTATTGGAGGATTGTTGGCCAGGATTGGCGTGTCGATCCCAGTGACTCCACATGTCACAGCTGGCTGGCTTGACTTTGCACACGCATTTAAAGCTAAAAATGGCCAACCCCGAGCTAAAGATGGCTGACGTCCAGGTTGTTAGGTTGCCAGCAACATCACTCCATGCATGTTGTGAATATGCGGCATATAAGAAGTGACAGTGGCAGTGAGTTGATCAGTTTGGCTTCCAGCAGGCTAAAAATGGCTGACTTGTGGATCACTACTGATGTGGCATCACTACTGATGTCACATTGTGCATAGGAAGTGATATCAGCGGCATCCTTGTGACCTGCTATTTGGCACTTTGTTTATTGCATTGAAAGCAGCCGGCTGGCTGGGCGCATGCTAAGTGAAACCAGCTATTGCGGCTCTGTTATAACCCTTGTTGAAATATTATGGTTCAAAGCAGAGGCCTCATAAAAGAGCTGTGCTGCATCGGGAACATCATTTTACAGGTAATTTGATCAGTCCATTTGACACTGCCCATTTCTTTCATACAAAACAAATCACCCTTTGTGCATAAATGCTCTGTTGGGTGATGGCACATAGGTGTTGGAAAGCACCACTTTTGCATTACTGGAAGTAGTTTTTTTTTATTAACTTGCAGTATCTTTTACAGCTCCTGAATTGGTATTGAGAAAGGTGATCAAGTTCTCCGATTGCACCGTTTGCTTGGACAAGCGAAGTGCAAGTGGAAAGATCGAGTTCTACCAGGACCCTCTGCTCTACAAATGCTCCTTTTGCACCCGAATGCACTTTACGTATGACAACCTAAACTCCAAAATCCCAGCAGTTATCAAAGTATGTATCTCAATATGTTACTTTGGGTTGATTTTAGATCCACTGTTATACAAGTGTTAAGACCTTAACGTCTTGTGTTACCTTTAAAACTAAAACGGGGTAATTTTTACATGGTTTTCATAATTTGCATGTAAGATTTCATAATTTGTATCTTAAATAGCATTGTTTCACTAGATGCTGGTTGTTTAATGCACTGTTAATGATATATCAAAATTGTCTCTGAAATGTAGAAATGTGCAATCTTTTAATTTACTGTGTCAATTATTATTTCTAATTTTCTCCCCGTTGGCATATGCCTTCTGGTTCTGGCATCCTGCTGCTGGGATGCTGTTCAACAGTGCAGGTTGCTCTCTGGTACCCTAACCAAATGGCTATTGTTTCTGAGTGTGGCAGCAACTAATGCCAGGCAACTTGACTGTAGGGGCCATCACAGTCAAACCTGACTACTCCCTACATGGTTGCCACACAAATACCCAACCAGTGGAGAATGCTAGAGAGGGAACAGGAGCCTTGATTGATTTTCTCCTTCCTTACTCTGGGAAGGTTGGGCCAATTAAGCCTTCCTGCAGACCTGGCCAAGACCAACAAACTCAGCATAGATTGGATTAGCACCAGTGCTCTCCTGGTCCATAAACTGCAGTCTTATCCACAATGCCGTTGTGCTGCCTCTGCTATAATAACATGATGACGTTATGCTAAAAATGCCTGGCTTTTCAGACTACTCTTCCTCCCTGTAGAAACAAGGATGACTAAATATTTACAGAATCACAGAACCTTCCCCCTGGAATATGTTGGAATAGGTGCTAACTGGATGCAGAGGAATCAAGGCAAACGCATGGTGTTCTGTGAAATTCTCCAATAAACTACACTCACAGGCAAAACGTGTCAATGCAAGATTCTCCTTGAAAACCTTTGTGGAAATTGCTTAATTTCTCCGTCTTTCATCTTTGTATATGATAAAAATAATATAATAATAATAATCCTTGCATTTGATATAGCACCTTATGTCATTGAGGCATCTCAAAGCGCTTCAACAGAATATACTGTAAAGTGAATTGACTGTATATTTTGTGGGTGAAACACCTTTGCTTTCCCACATCCATTCAGTGCTTAGCATGGAAGGGTACTCCAGGTGAGATCAAATTAATTGAATTGAAAACTGTTGAATGTGTATCACAACACATTATACAACAACAACAACTTGCACTTATATAGGCCCTCCACGCTGGGTGGCATCTCGGAGCGCTTAACAATGGCGGAGCCCAAGGCTGAGCCAGGGGGAGGGGGAAGGTGACCCTAGACGTGGTCGAAAAGGAAGGTCTTCAGGTGTGACCTGAAGATGGGAAGGAGGGGGCGAGGCGAAGGGTTTGAGGGAGGGAGTTCCAAAGTTTCAGGGCATAGTGGCTGAAGGCACGCGCCGATGGTGGAGCGGAGGATTCCAGGGACATGGAGGAGGCCGGACCCAGTAGAGCAGAGGCAGCGGGTACTACTGTGGGGAGAGAGGAGGTTAGAGAGTTAGGGGGTTGCCGAGGAATGGAGGGATTTAAACATTAAAGTGAGGATCTTGAAGTCGATCCGCTCTGTGACAGGAGCCAGTGTTTGGCAAGGACTGGAGTAATCGGGGTACGGAATTTGGTGCGGGTCAGAATGCGGGTGGCGGAGTTTTGAATTTTGTGAATAGTGGAGGAGGGGAGACGGCGAGGAGAGCGTTAGAGTAGTCCAACCGAGAGGTGACAAAGGCATGGACAAGGGTTTCAGCAGCTTGTGGAGTGAGGTATTATCGGAGACGGACAATATGGCGGAGGTGGAAGCAAGCGGTGCTGGTCAGGGACCGGATGTGGGAGAAGAAGGATAACTGGGGATCGAACCTGATGCCTAAGTTGTGCATGGGTTCAGGGAGTTTTAAGGACAGGTTGGGTAGGTTGGAACCGTGGGACAGAAGATGTCAGTGGGAGACAAAGAGTATGGCTTCCGTCATGTTGACGTTTAACTGCAGGAAATTTGCACTCGTCCAACTCTTGATGTCTGACAGACAAATTGACAGAATATCGGGGGACTGGGGGTCGCAGCTGGAGGTGGAAAAATAGAGTTGAGTTTCAGCCGCATACATGTTGAAGTTAACCCCGTGTCTGCGGGTGACATCACCAAGCGAGAGCATATAGATGAGGAAGAGAAGGGGGCCAAGGATGGATCCTTGGGACATCCTACAGGTAATCGGGTGGAAGCACAAAGAAAAGCCATTTGTAGAAATATAGTGCTGGCAGTTTGTGGGTAGGACTCGAACCAAGTGAGTGCGGTCCCACTGAGGTGGATGACGGAGGAAAGGCGGTGGAAGAGGATGGTGTGATCGACTGCATTGAACGCGGTGGAGAGGTCCAGGAAGACGAGGAGGCAGAGGGAGCCCTGGTCACTGATAGAAAGGATATTGTTTGTGACCTTCACGAGCGCTGTCTCTACTGTGGGCAGGGTGGAAACCGGACTGGAGTGGCTTGAGTAGGGTTACTTATTGGGTTATTTTACCAGTGAGTTTCCTATTTCTTTATATTTATGCATATCGATGAAGTCCACTGGATTCTCTAAATTCTTCAGTAAGTCAGAATACGTCCTTATACTTCATGCACCTTCCATAATAATTTGAAGTTGGGTGCAGTTTAAAAGGTCACACTGATTGTTTTATGAACAAAATGGCATTTGTAATGTTCTTACTCCCCTTTTCATAATGATTTGTTGTTTTGTTTTCATGGTGAATTTAATCCGGATTGAGTGATTGCAAGTCTACTAATTGAACTTTACTTCTAAGAGAGAGTAATAATGGAGCATCTGATTATACTGTAGTATATTAATAAGTCTTGACAAGCAAACTGTAAGAAATTACCCATGTTCTTCAATCAATTTGCTATTTCTCAACTCTGGAGTACAGTAGTATGCACACTTACTAGAAGTTTGGGTTAAATGGGTGGACCTCAATTTTCAGCAGCTACTTGCTTGATGGACAGATTCTGGTGAAACAGTTCCACTCTGATCTGAAATTTGATACACGTTTGTCTCCAAAACATAGTCCCCACACTTTATGGTAAATTCTGTTAAGCACATCCTCTGACGTGAAAGGTGCAATATCAAATGCAAGGATTATTATCAGTGAATTGATGTGAGTGATAATAATAATAATAATGATATTATTATTATAAAAACAATAATAAAACATTGGTCACTTCAGTCCATGACTGTTTGTGGGACACTGCTGTGCGCAATTGGCTGCCGCGTTTTGCCCACAAATATAGTCAATTCACTTTACAGTATATTCTGTGAAGCGCTTTGAGATGTCTAGAAGATGTGAAAAAGTGCTATATCAAATGAAGGATTATTATTATGTTATTATTTATTTTGTGGCCAGGGAGAGAAAACAGTAGTTTGAATTTTCCCAGGACATTGTTGTGTGTTTAGAGTGAATAAATTAGGCAAAGCAGATGTGATTCCTTTTGTAATGCTCCTTATATTAGAATGTTCCTCTTATTGGAATGCTTCACACAATATAAAGCCCAATCTCTGTGACCTCCTAACCTCCTACCGACCTGTCTGCTCTCTCTGCTCAGCGAGCTCCGGCCTGCTTCACGTCCCTCGCCTTGCCCGCCCCAGCATTGGTGAGCGGGTCTTCAGCCTCTCTGCCCCACCCTCTGGAACTTCATCCCACAGTCCCTTTGCCTCACCCCCTCCCTTGACTTCTTCAAGACCTGTCTCAAGACCCTCCTCTTCGACAGTGCCTTAGGTCACTCTTCCCGCCCTCCACCCCTCCTGATCCCACCACCGGCTCGGGTGCTGATCCCTGACTGTCCAGCGCCTTGGCACATGCTCCTGATGTTAAAGGCACTATAAAAATGTAATTTGTTGTTTGTGGTTGTTGCTTATTTGTAGCAACATAAAGTTGCTGTTTGATATGTGGTCCACAAGATAATGTTATAGTTGCTTTCCCTCCTACTGTCGTTAGCTCATTCTTGGGGATACCTTGAGGCTGTTACACACCAGAAGTTGGTGGCCACCTTACAACTAGTATCATAATTTTACCAGGTGTTTTCTTTGCCCTAATTAAATCAATAAACTGAGGATATGTTGTGTCTGGAAGTGAGATGTGAAATCCTTTCATTGGTGACGCTCACCAGATAATTCCTGATGGTTGCTCATGAGTAACAGTCCATGTACCAAGTGATAATATTTAGCAGATCTCACTTTGTCCATACATCAATGTAATTATTTCACCCACAAAATATACAGTCAATTCACCTTACAATATATTCTGTCAAGTGCTTTGAGACATCTCGACGATGTGATACGGCACTATATCAAATGCAAGGATTATTATTCAAAATAGATTTATTTCCTGGTAATTCATTGACAAAATAGGATTGCAATCCCATAGTTTCAGTCAAATTACTGAAGCTTTATGTCAGTAGTACCTTTTACTAACTTTCACCAATCTGATGAAGCTCAACAGAAATTTTCATTATATTGTGCCTCTCATGTTGGGAGGATATCCCAAGGCACTTAACAATGCTGCCTTGGCACCCAAGAGGAAAGATGACAGAAAGAAGTACAACAACAACAAGATTACATTGAGGTATTGAGATGGACCTTGAACGAGATGAGGGAGAAAACAAGTTGGAGGGACTTATGTGGAGTTCCAGAGAGTGGGAGCAGATACGCTAAAACCTGAATATGGGGGTGGGGGTGGGGGTAGGGCATAGGAACATAGGAATTAGGAGCAGGAGTAGGATATTCGGCCCCACAAGCCTGCCCCGCCATTCAATAAGATCATGGCTGATCTTCTAACCTAACTCCATCTGTCCATATCCCTTAATCCCTGTATGCTTTAGAAATCTATCAATCTCAGTCTTGAATATGTTCAAGGACTGAACATCTACAACCTTCTGGGGAAGAGAATTCCATGAATTCACTACCCTCTGAGTGAAGAAGTGTTTCCTCAACTCTGTTCGAAAAGGCTGACC